AGACACAAGATTTAACAATACTGTGTACTCTCATTAAGAAGACACACGATTTAGCTGCTGTACCGTACATCAGCAAAGAGAAACTTGGCCAATAGCAATGAAAAAACTGATAAAATCTTTTCCTCTCTTTCAAGAATCAATATAAAAGTAGTCCTGACCTGTGCAGGAGTTTTTTGAATAGGTTTGCCCAGGTTTGAATAAAATATTATAGCTGTGTTTTCTCTAGGCTTTTGAAACAAGAATAATATTATAAAGAACAAATGGATGAATTTTGAATTTTATCTAACAATTGAAAAATCAACTTTTTTGCTATGATCAATATTTTAGCAGATTTAGCCGTTGAGATAGAAGGTCTTGAGTGTTGCTTCAAAAACAAGTCTGCTTTTTAAGATGGTTTTTGCCACCAATGTTCAATTACAATTTTTGTGAAATTCCTGGGCAAACCTTATTATGAACCACTCATGGTTCATGATGCTTTATTTATGTACATTATACTTTCCTCAGAAGAGTCATTAGAAAAAAAAAACGTTCTCTGTTTGTTATGCTTACTATTTTGTGTTAATGCCTCCATTTCTAACTCTTTTTATGTTTATTGAGATTCTTGTTTTATCAAAGTTATATTGACAAGCATATTTTGAGGTTATGAGACACAAGCTAGTAGATTAAATATTTTTTTATCCTTTTTTTTTCTGAAGTAATTCAATATGTTCTTAGTAGACTGATGAACAACTATTGTTTCAATTTTATCTGTTATATAGACTTCATTCGTGAGATAAGTTTCTGTATCTCTATGCACATTTTATCCAATATGCATTCCTTAAAATTACAACATAAAATTTTTGACACAAATAATGTTGCCATAAGTGCATTAATGAGGACAAATCATGGCAAATGCTGTGGCATGTCCTGAAGACATTCTTCCACTTAAAAACACACTTAGTATATGAACACGATACAAGGCAAGTGTCTTCACCAAGGTAATAAACTAAAAACATTAGGTTTTTTTCTAATGACTAATATTTTTCAATTAAATCATAAAATAAGAGGCAGTTTTCCAAGTTATACTTTAGGCATTAACTTTGTCATGTTCTACTTATAAGACATTCAACATTCCCAGCAAAGAAAAATCAAATTGATGCTTGTGTTGTTTGATGTTAGAAAAATACAGTGAAATAGCCCTAACAATTAAAATAATATCTTTTCTGTTTGATCTCTATGAAGTAGTAGCTAAATCATATCAAACTATTGTAAATTTAATCCTATGGATATGAGAAGGTCAAAATGTGCATGTCATGACCTTTTTACAGAGTTAAATTCAAAATTTAAACTAATTTATTATCAATGTATATTAAAAAAATTGTCATCAAAATTTAGTTTATAATTAATTATACTTAAATTTTGATATCTTAATTTCAAATAGATATTTAAATAAATTCTCATACTACACCTCTGACTCACTTGACATGGTGGTGCTGTGATTTCTCATGTATAGATATTTTCTGTTCTCTTGTAAGGGCTACAGATTGTTGAACTAATTTGAAACACACATTATAGAAAAAATCTTTCTTCCCCTCTTTGACATTTTGTTTCATCGGAACTTTAGGCAGAGTAGACATAGTAGGTTTGAGAATTTTTATGAACTGCAGCTACCCACATAATAAAATAGGTTTGAGTTTTTGAATTCTATGCTAAGGCCTTCTTCAGGTCATTGTAGGTACTTGTGTAAGGTCACACTACACATGGTTTTGACAGAGTACATGCCAATTCTGGTTTTGCATCACATTTGGATCACAAATGTTTTATTGATTAAACTAATAAAGTGTAAAATCTGGTAGACAGAAAATTATTAATCGTTTTTTAGTAAATAGTTTAACTGTGAAAGAAATGCAGTGCTTTACAGAAATATCTCAACAGATAGGTCTACACATTCAAAACTATAGTATAAACTTTTACAAATTTAACATTTGCATTAATCTGATACAGCAATCCATTAAATTCATTCGTAACTGAAATATTCTAGTTATTCATTACAAGGTTTATTTTTATATAAAGTATTAATATTTAATGCTATTCAAAGGAAAAATCAGAATATTTTTCTTAAGGTGGCATTGTTTTTTTTGTAGTTGTACTTGATGGTTTTTATAAAATGCTATGGCTTTGCCATATGTTGTCTTTAGTTTTGTTGGCTATTATGGTTCCAATATAGCTTATTAATTTTTATTACTGAAATATGCATAAAAATAAGTGAAGCTCATTAGGACTAACCGTATCTTCAATCAATATAATCTTCCAAAACAATAGTTTATTTTAAGCAGCTTTTATTTTAAATAAAGTCTCAATTTAAGAATTTATCTATATATACCTTTTAATAATTCGTATTGCACCTTCATTTATATTACTGAAGCTAGGTCTTTTTTATATATTAAAGTAGTTTAATTATAAAGAATAGATGTGCAAACTGACACTTATACCTATCTAATGAAAATACCAATCTTGAAAAAATTTGGACAGTTTGCCAATATAAGATTGGTGTATAAAACTTTTTTCTCTATATTAAAATATTGTTATTACAAAACACTTGCAGTTACTCATAAAACATTATTACTGTGAATCTTGTATCTATCACATCTTAATAGTTGTTTGTCAAGCAATTTGCTAATATAAATAATGTCTTGACTACTATTATTTCTGTCATATCCCAGCTGGTCTGAAGAGCGCTGGTATTGGATGAAAGGCCTTGTCAGCACTGGATATAGCAGATGTATGGTGGGTGACACATCACTGAATGCTGTTCTTTATTTTAACTCAAAAGTTTTTTTTTTCAGGGAGTTCTTCCTTTTGAATTTTTGGGAACAAATGCAAGACAGCAAGCATTAGCTGTGGAAACTAACATCAAGCAAATTTTAGAGCATTACCATTTAAAAGTAAAGCTGAAGAAAGAGTCTACTTTTTCAATTTTCTTCAGGCATTTCAGGTAGAATAAGTTAAAAGTTTTTATGGTACATACTGGTTAACACTTTATCATTTCCACTGTATATTTATGCATGCTAAACATCATCTCCACCTGTATATATACACCAAATGTCTCACACACAATTTAAGTGTCTCGTGCCTGGTTCATTGTGGTCAAAGCATTGCTACGGAAATGGAAAAACCCTTCCATGGATGATAAGGGGTTAATAATAAAAATTAACAATAATTTATGCAGAATGAAAATGTTTAGTAAACAGAACAATCTGAAAACTTACTTTTAACCAAACAAATTCAAAAAATTAATATATGTGCTCTTGAAGTTATGCTTTATTTTCTTATCTTAAATGATATGGTCAGTTTGATTTAGAATGACTCCTTCATGAAGTGAAATTACTCATATCTGATTATCTGAACATTCAACTTTAAATCTGTATTTAGTAAACTATCCCTGTAAATGAACTTGTTTTCCTTCTAAACAAAACTATTTAGTAATATATTAATTTCATATATTTTTTTTATATTGTATGTTTACGATAACAGCTTTCAATTTTTGTTATTTGGATTTTTTTTTCTAGAGATCTAACACCAGAAAGAGAGGTGTGTAATAACTCATTGTTTTTTTTATTTTATAAATGTAAGTATGTCATCACAAAATATTTAAATAAACTGATTTGACAATGGTTTTAAGGAAAATAATTTTTACTGTGTGTATATATAAAGCATATTTTAACAGCTACATATAGTCAAATGATACTGGCTGTATTGTGTTGAAAAAATAATCATTTACGTTTCTGTTACATAAATTTATTTTCTTTTTGTTTATGTCTTAAACTGTTTTTAATATACCTTTTTTAACACCTTTTAAAAGACAGTGCAATGAATAAATTCATCGTGTTAGATAAAAGTATTTTCACACACATAGCTACAGATTATTTTAGTTTTTATGTAAACTTTGTATGTGGTAGCATCTTTCAGTTGTTGGTATTGTAAGTGTAGCCTTCTCTACTGCCTGATATTGTTCTAAGAAGAAAACAGTTGTTATGAATAATATTTATTTTGTCTAATATTAGGGGTGAATATCTGTCTGTCTGTATGAGTAGTTAGAACTTGGAATAGCTTTTAAAACATCTTGTGATTTGTTATTCTTGTACAGTTATGATTGTTCTTGAAGGTATAGTGAATAATTGTTTAATATTTTGAGGAATTTTCTATATTTAAGAGAATGATTTTTCTTAATGCTTAAAGTACTAAAGATTAGCCTAAATTAGGCCTTTTTTAAATAAAAAAACAAACAAATATTGATTGCAAAATGCAGGTAACTGAAAAGAGATGGTGTGATACTAAGTTTTTAAAATTGACTGGGAGTGTACCAACAATGGAAGATTTTTAATTCCAGTCTTAAAATTTGGACAGCGAAAAGTAACAAATTAACCCTCTCACTACAGGTCTTCCTATGGTCAAAGAGTATGTCATCATGTTTGTAGACTTACATTCAAAATTTTATTGATCTACTATTTTATGAACGTATACAATAAGTTTGGTATCACATTGTACATTATAATTCAAATTTCAGTGTTATACATCAGTAAACTTCTTAATTTAAAAGTAAATATAAAAACAAAATTCCTGAATATCATTTTAGTGTGTCACATGGTATGTTGAATGCAGCTTTGGTTAGTTCAAATTAGATGTTTGTAATGTCCAAATATAGTTTCTTATCAATTAGAAACACATATTACCAATATTGATAGGCTAGAATATAAAATATGAGCCTCCTATCTTTTCTATTTGCTGAGATATCACTACATTTAGCGAATCAAACACAATGGGCCCTGCCCTCCTTTTTCATTTTTGGAAATGCTTACGTACACCTACTTCTGTCTATGATGTGTGAATAACCAATTGAAAGATCAGAATGTCCCCCACATGCTTTTTTTCAGCCTCTGTAAGGTGGGAAGGTCCCAAGATTATTTCTTTGTCTCAAATCTCAGAAGGAAGGGGTAATTGAAAATGTTGTCAGAAAAACTTTTTTTTTATACCCAAATACAGTTTAGTTAATAAGCCTGATAAATTACAGTGGAATTCTGAAATATTGAAAGAGTAATTTGTAATATTTGGTTATTTCAAAATGCATATACAAAACCTAAAAAAAATTTATTTTGTTTTATATCCTCCACATGTGAAATTTGATAAAGATTAGCAAATTTCACAAGCAGGCAAGTGAGTACAAAGTTTGTAAGTAGAAAAAATTCAGTATTTTCTTTATTTTTTTATTTACTGTACTATTTTCTAAGAAAAATAACTGAAATTTAGGAACATATTTGTAAATAGTAATAATATATATACAGATGTAATGTATTATATTCAAAATGGGACTGTATTTTGCAAAATACTGGTTCACTAGAACAAACCGAAGACAGGTCACTTTGTAAAGCCAGTGTTATACTCTTGGATACGGTAACATGAATGCACGTGCACCACATTATTGCAACTTCTGTAATGTTAGTTAGACACATCTGAAAGGTCAATAAAATATATAATTATGAATATTTGTAGATGTATAATGTTATGAGATTTAAGCTATATAGACTAAACAGTTGAGGTTTCTTGCTATAATCTAGGCATTCTAGAACAAAAAAGCATAATTTACATCTGTTTCCTAATTTATTATGTTGGTTACGAGGTCACTAAAATCGACTAAACCCATACAGAGATACAATAGTGAAAATAACAGATGAAATATAAAGTATTTTATACAAAAACGTTTACTGGATTATTAGAGGTTATAAAGATTTTGCATGTGAAAGTTGACAGTTTTCTGATGCATAAAAGAATTTTTAATCTTAAAATCAAGATTACTTTGCATGTTGGATAGTCAACCTTCAAAACATAAAATGCAGGAACAAACTGTTATTTAAAAGAATCTTAAAACCTAATAAAAAAATCTGATATTTTGTGTTAACTAAAGCTTTGTAATGTTTACTGGTAATCTGCAAAATTTTATTAGGATACACATACTTTATTTAAAGTTATAGTGTGAAAACTATAACAAGCACAAAATGGTTACAAGGTCAGTCTCTGGGACCGAGTCCGTAGTGAGAGAGTTAATGGATTTTGTATGTTTTACACTTAGACTAGTTGACATTACTTGAGAAACTGAGTGTTGCAGATGTTGTATGAAAATATATGTTCATATGTAATAATTGTTTGATTTATGCAATACATTAAAATTTAAAGACAAGGTTTTTTAGTAGATGTAGTATAATAAAATATTTATTCATTGTGCCTCTAAAACTGAGTATAAATAATTACTAAAAAAATGTTAGTGTATGTAATTAATTATAGTTTGTATAAGGTATGTCTAAGTTGTCACATGTTAGAAAATTGTAGTTACTTGCATCCTGTGAATTTTTCCAGAGAGAGCTATTAGAAATATTCAACATCTTGATGAATCAAAACCGTTATAATGATGCTGTAAGTACACTGTATTTGTAATATAATACTTTAAATTTGTTTCATTAAGTTGAAACAATGTTTATTTTTAGAACTGTTACTAATACAATATACAATTACAAAACAAGAAACTTGATAACTCAAGTTGCTTTAATATTGCCAGAGAAAGGAGGTATACTTTTTGAAAGCTTTCAAGTTATGATGTTCATATCTTGTGATTTATCTGTTTTTTTTTTATCATAGGAAACTTTTTAAGTAGTATCATGAAGATAACAGTACATCGGATATTCAACAAACTTCCTTTTTCTTTATTCTAGATTTAACCATGTATTTTTTATGTTGAAAAACTTTTAATTTTCTTCACCATTATTCATATAAAGCATTGCACTTGTTAAAACATAACTCTGTAGTTTTTTGGGAAAGAATTAATTTGTATTCTGTAAATTCTATATTTAGTGTTTACACCATAATAAAAACATTTAATTCTGATGGTAGAAACGAAAATTAATGAAAAATTAATTTTAATGTGTAAATACATTCCTGATTTTCTATGAACCTAAAAAAAAATTATGTTAGCTGTTTACTGTCACTGTGGTTTTACTAGTTGGTAGATTTTAAAAATTATATCAGTTTTATTTAGTAGTCTCTTTTGTGCATCCTCATTATTTTATGCTGTTAAACAGTTCTTTAACTCTTATAGTGTCAATTCTGATACATTCTTTATCTTCTTTCTTCCCTCTAAGCATTACTAAAAACAATTTTCACACTCAGCACACCAGTCTATATACCCCACCAATTTTGTGCCACTACTGAACATGTACATATCATGTGACTACTCTCCACTAATAGTAATGAGCCACCTGAATTGGTGCAGCTAGTTCTCCCTGCTATTCCCACTAAATTCTCACTTTCTCAAATGGGACAGCTTTGTTTAGATGCGTTTTCTCACATGTAGTTACTGTTTATAATTGTACTTCTTTGTCATTTCAGTTTTTTTTTTTCAACTGTTTTCTTTTACTGTGTTTGCATTCAGTTGTTTCAACGATATTTGTTTTTTGCATTTGTTTCTTGTTACTGAATTATACAAGAACTTTGTATGAATTCATGATTCAATGTATTGACTATAGTAGTTCCCATTACATTTGACAATGTTACTGGATTCCCAGGAATCAGGTTTGACTTTATCTGCAGAGGAAGTACAGGCCTTAATATGCAGGAAACTAGATTCATATGTCCGGCCAGAGATTTTTTTCCTCTTTTCGACCTGACAATGTAGCTGAGGAAGGATAAAATCAAGGAGAAGACAAATTGGACTCCCTTTTTTCCGGCCCTTTTTATTTTGGTACACTGTACACCTCTTCAAGAGATTTCGCCTTCCACACCCTTTTTTACAGCTGGTTACTCAATTCAACGCATATTCAGCTTTTTTTTTAATGTTTGAGACAAGAGTGATTTTGCTAGTTTTCTTTTTCTGCTCCTGTTGCAGTGCCTCTATGTCGTTCACTTTGGTGAAGGTTTGTTCTTTCTTCCTAATGCTTCCAGATCTATGTACTTGTAGACTAGGTAAATTTTGATGGTTTGTCAGTTTGATATTAATAAGGTCGTTGTTAACTAGGTATGATTAGATAGTTTGTACTGTACATATCATTCCTACCAGTAATATATAATTCATTGTTCTATCTGAATAATTTTTTGTCATTGTAAAATATGTGCTTTATAATCCTAATTTTCATCAGTGTAAGGCTTAATTTTTTTTGGTGTTGCTACATCACTGACGAAGCCGTTTCTTTCCTGTTTGTGGAGCTGAGCTTTGCTTCAGCTCCATTTCCTATGTTCTTGATACTAGAAACCAATTTTTCTCCTCGTACTCTACAATTCAGGGTTCGTTCTCACAGTATCCACATCGTCTTTATAGCTAGAAGTTGATTGTTTCAGTTTAGGGCCCTACCATTTGAACTAACCTTGGCTCCTTATTCATTTTGTCGGGTGGTAAGAACTTTTGCCCAACATCTTCACTCAATGGGTCTTCACACTCATCATTACATGGACAATGGGCTCCTGCTTGCTTCTTCCCGTTCACAGTCCAGAGACCACACTCGTCTGCTCCTACAAGAAACAGCGCGAGTGGGATTGCTGATAAAGGTGGAGAAGGCTGTTCTTACCCCCACTCAATACCTTGTTCATTTGGGGTTTTTCATCAATTCCAACCTCAGTCGAACCCAGCCTTTTCCTCTTTATCTTCGGGATATGGCGCAAGCAGTCCACAAAGCCCACACTTCACGTTCTCTCACAGCTCAAGAGTTTCTATCTCTGTAGGGAATGTGAGCTTCCTTGGAAGATCTCATTCCCATGGGTCGAGCTCATATGCATTTCCTTCAGTCTACCCTTTTACCCTTCCTTCCCCATTCAGGGCTGGTCTGGCTTGGTGGCTAGACAGGGAACAGGCCATGGCATAGATTTTAATTCCTCCACCTTGTCCAGATTTACATCTGTTCATGGACATATCTTTAGAGGATTAGGGTGCTCACATCAACTCTTGTGAGATTTTCAGTCTCTGGTCGGTAGAAGATTCTTCTCTCCATATTGACATTCTCGATCTTATGGCAGTTTGTTGAACTTTGTCCCACTTGCTACCTTTTCTGTGGGGTAAGGTGGTTATGGTACACTCCGACAACTCCACAGTAGTAACTTATATCACCAAGCAAGATTTCTGTGCTTTAAGACCATGGATCTCCTTTCTGGGCTCACAGTCACCACATGGTGGTCTTAGCTCACTATGTTCCTGGCGTCCTGAATCTGGTTGCTGATCGTTTATCTCGACCCAACAAGATTTTCCCCACGGAGTGGTCCCTCAACCCACAGGTCTTTTGGTGGGGGTGTTCTCAGCTGGAACACTAAACTTCCTTCCTTTTGGTCTTCTGTTCCACACCCGCTAGCTCTGGGAGTGGACACATTCAGTCATGATTGGAGAGGTCATTACATCTATGCTTACCCAGACTTCTATCCTTAATCCAAACCACTCCATGTCTAGTCCTTGTGGCTCCATATTGGCTGGTGCAACCATGGTTTCCACTGCTTTGACCTTTACTTGTACAACCTCCCCTACCATTACTTTTGTTTCAGTCTGTGCTATGTCAATCTCAGACAGACAACATTCATCCAGACGTCGCCACCCTCCATCTTCACACGTGGCTTTTGTCAGGTTCATTACCTCAGCCCAGGGACTGACTCCACATGTTGCATCTTTTTTTTTCCAGATCCATAAGACATTCTTCCATGTCCATTTACCAAAGTCAATGTTCTACCTTCTGCCTTTGGTCTCTTTGATATGGTTTCATTCTTCCCACCCTTCTGTTCCTCATCTTTCCCAATTCTTCACCTGGTTGTTTGACAAAGGCTTGTCCACTTCGACTGTGTCTAGCTATCGGGCAGCCATGTTGAACACTTTTCGTTTCTCCAAGTTTCTTAAGGTTTTGTCTTCCCCTTTCAATTCCATCCTCAACATTCCTTTGATTTGCCTCATTGGGATCTCAGTGCAGTCCTTTATGTCCTTTCCCATCCTTCCTTAGAAACTTTGTCGATGCGTTCCATATAGCATCAAGACAGTTTTCCAAACCATATGTTCTTAGTTGATGTACATTTTTATAACAAATAGAAAGAGCTCTTTCTCTGTTTCAAGCTGGAAACCATTCCTTTGAATTTTGCAACAATAGGCATTTGTCGAAAGGAAGTGACTGATGTGTGTAAGCATAGTTGTTGCTCATAGCAGTAAATTTTTTTTTTACCTTATTTATAACTTAGTTATAAATCCAGTTAAATTATAGGAGTTTTGAGACATTCTATTCTAGTGAGTGATATATTTTTTTGTGTTCTAAAAGGTATAGTTGAAAGGTACATGAATATTTGTTAAGAGAACGAACTTAGAGAAAAAAACTGGGCCTATTTAATTATGGGGTTCCAATGCAAAATTTCATGTTGTGCAGTACGTCATTGTAAGAGAATCTTCTGACATGTTGCTTTTCAGGGATGAATAAACTATGTACATGGTACAAGCTAGTTAATAACACCACAAAAATTGAAATAGATGGGAAAAGATAAACAGTTGAAACTGTAAATATCATTAATTGAAGTTATGGAAACAAATGTATCTAAAGAAAAAGAATAGAATGTAATATTCATTTTATTTCATAATTTTCAGGTTTTCATTGTATTGTTCTTTGGAGATTTAGTAACAGTTAATGTTAGGGTACTGGTAGAGAAAATAAAAGATAAAGTATAAAATTTTACCTTAAAAACTTTTGATATTCATTTAAGATACTCTAAAGGTTATGCAAATGAAATATAAAAACTGTAAGATGAAAAGACATATTTTTATTCTTAATATGAAAATCATCTTGTACTAAGATTGACTCAAGGCTTTGGAAATTTACAAACACATTTATAGCATAAATACTTTATTAAAAATTCTTATTCTTTGTGCGCAACAGGCTTAACTTTTACTAAAAAGCTAGCTGATTTTTGTGGAGTTACACTTAGGAAATTCAGAGTTCTAGTATTTATTGCTTTATGGTTTTTTCAAATTTGGTCAAATTGATCCATTGGCATAAGGTTTAGTTGATGCTTCTCTCTTCCAGCTTCAAGTTGTTACATCTCTCTTACACCTTTAAGTTTTTACTTCTTTCTTTAACCTTTAAGATGTTACTTCTTTCTTACAGTTTGAGCTTCAGGATTTGAATAGATCTTTGATATCCTGAAAATCATAGAAAATGTTTACATTTTTCAGTACTAGAAATCCTGGAAAACAGCTCTTTTTAAATCGTGGTTCTGAAAATGACCTTAAATTTCAGTTTCAATAAAACATATCCGTTATGAAATAATTGGCATTACAGGATTTGAGAGTCCTGGAAGTTTGAGTATGAGGCCTGGGAGAAGTTCTGGAATTTTCTTAGTCCGTATGCATTTTTCAAGTTGCTTAGTCTTTGTTGCAGATTCAAGTTGTCACTTCTTTTTTATGGCATCATGTTGTTGAGCTTTTGGTTACTTTTTTTTTTTTATAATGGCTTAAGTTATTAGGACTTTGTCACATATTCAAGTTATTTTTCTTATATGGTAAAGGTGTTGAGTTTTCATTTTAGGTTGAAGCTATTACTTCTTTCATATTCAAAGTTTCAAGTTCATGACATGATAAAGTAATACTTTATCCTTTTTCTTTTTTTTTGACAAATTCAAGTTGTTACATACACATATTGTTCTGATTTTCTTTTTCAAAACGTCCATTTCTTATTGCAGATTCAAGTAGGAATAAAACTGATGCAACTGGCTTTGCAAGGTTTGACATATTATCAGAGATATGATCGATTCACATTGAAGTAAGTATTTTTAAAGATATGAAAAATTATAATATATCAACACAATAAAGAATTGTAACATAAATAGATTACTGCAAATAATTCTTTTTTCAAAAGCACATGCACAGCTAAATGAAGAAAACTTACAGATACTCAATCTTGTACTTATGGTTGACCTAATATTTTCTTTTGGTATGGTCACTAACCTCAGAAAAGCATGTGAAATGAAAAGATTACATCTTGAAAGATTTCTATTGATGCATTAAATTAACTACTTTCAAGTGTTGTGTCTGTACACATTAATGTTAATGGCTTGGAATGAGAGTATCCTGAGTAATGATTTTTTACACACTTAAAACTTAGTTTTGTACCTCTCAAAACTCAGTGAATTTCAAATGTTCTACAGCACTACACAGCTTCAAAATAGTTTTTATTTTAAATAAAAGTATTCTTGATTAGGTAAAAGGGATGAGTATAAAATGAGAAAAATATTAAACAGCTTACTTCAGAGATTCTGTGCTTTCCATTGTCTTTCAAAACTAGCCCAACATTTGAAATCATTTTCTGGTTTTCCAATTTTTCCACTACACATCTTACAAGTTTCATCGTGATTTAAGCTTGCATTAAGTTCATTTCAAGGAACTTTTCAAGATTTATCTTTATTGCCCAGATTTTATGTGATCAGTAACTTTTAATAAAGGATAGTTAACATTTCTTAAAAATGAATTTTGAATCTTAAAACTAGCTAGATATCTATGAAGTGTTATCTAATATTTTTAAATTGAATATTTACTTATGAAACAGTCAAGCTCTCTCCATTCATTCTAAACCTCAGATGAAAATCACATGCACAAAAGATTACACACTTTTTCAACTCCTCCCCATTTTCTTATACAAAGGTTATCAATCTCAAAAGATCAACTGAAACAACAAGAGACTATCCTAACATATTTCCCATATTGCATCAGTTTTTATTTTTTTTTATTTTAAGCAAAGTTACATGGGGACTATCTGCACTAGCTGTCCCTAATTTAGCAGTGAAAGACTAGAAGGAAGGCAGCTAGTCATCACCACCCACCAGCAACTCTTGGGCTACTCTTTTACCAACAAATAGTGAGATTGGCCATCATTTTATAATAACTCATTGGCTGAAAAGGTAAGCATGTTTGTTGGGATGAGGATTTCAACCCGAAACCCACTGATTGTGAGTAGAGCACCCTAATCACCTAGCCATGCCATGCCAAAGCATCAGAGGAAAATCTTAAGTTTTAAAGACAACAGAAAGCACACATTCGTTTTTGGGATGTTTCAAAGTAAGTTATTTATTGTAGCTTTGAAAGACAACAGAAAACACAGATTTTCTTTTGGAAGGGCTGATATAAGCTGATTAACCAGACTTGGCACACTCAATGGCTCTGCAATAAGTCTGAAGGCTTATAATGCTACAAACCAGGTTTTGATACCCATGGTGGGCACAGCACACATAATCTACTGTGTAGTTTTGTATTTAGCAACAAACAAACAAATCAAAGACTTGAGCAAAGTTTAAACATTTTAATGTTATTATTAAGAAATTCTTATATTTTATGAAGCTGTTGCTGTAATACAATTGATGAAAGTTTTTCTTTTGCTTGATAATGGCTGTAACACTTGATGACATCTGTAAACATTACTGTCATAATTCTTCTCTTCATATATAATAGTAACATTGATGGAGAGGTGTAATTACTGCTGTGAAGATAACTTTTATGTTGTTGTTTTTTATTCTTAAATATTTGGTTTCAATTTTTGTAAATTATGTATTACTAGCATAGACCCACACAACATTTGTAGTCAAATTAATATCTTTAGTGCAACAGAACTACTTTAAATACAGGATTAATAATACAAAAGAATTCTAATCACAGACACCAAAATCTTGAAAGTCTACTTGTCTTAGGTCTAACATTAGTTAAGCCTTTATTAAGTGTGGCTTATGTTCGATAAAGAGATATATTAATACTTTAACATGTTGTTTGCTTTAGTTAAACTTTATGGTTAAATTTCACCGTACTTAATACTATCAATAAATTAATTTACAATGTTATTCTATGACCCAACGTTAGACCTTTTTAAAAACTTTGATAAGCTTTTAATATGTTGTACAAAATGTGTACTAAACTATATTTACATCAGCCTTTTGTGTACATCCATTGAAATCAAGTGCATGTGCACTTAGATTGTAAAGTGTGTACACATTTTCAGGATAGACAAAAACTGAGTATTATCATATAGAGTGTATAATTTATGTATTCTAACACTTTAATAATGTAACATTAATACAGAAGTACAATTTTGCATTCTAACACTTTTAATAACATAAGTGTTAGAATACATATACTATACACTTATTATAGAGTGTTTAGTATACTAACACTTATGTTATTAAAAGTGTTAGAATGCAAAATTGTACTCTCTGTAATAATGTTATTAAAGCTGATTTTCAGTACAAATATGGACCACAAAAAGAGGACCTTTTGATCCTTTTTGATTTAGAAGTTTTAAGCAAGTGGTGTCTGAAAAGTTGTTACAAGGATAACTTACTTGTGGTAGCCAAGCATTCATAGTGACATCGCTATCTGATCCTTCCATGTCAGCTTTTTTTTATAATTGCAAAGCAGAATTCACCAAACATTGGATTGTTTAACCATTAATAGTGTTGTATCCTAGGTGACCTGATGATCCCTGTTATTGGGTGAAAGGCTACATCAGCACTAGATATAGTAGATGTAGTGTAGTTCACATATTATAACATATTTTAATTGGGAAGTTTAAAGAGTGATAAAGTTCTTGGAACAAATAATATTTACACAAGGGTTTTGAAGGGGGTTAAGTATTGGATTTGCAAACCACTTGCTACTATTTTTTTCTAAGGCTTAAAAAACTGAACAGTTACCAGAAGATTGAAAGTTGGCTTATGTTACTCTTCTTTTCAAGAAAGGTGTTAAAAATTATCCTACTAATTATAGGTGTATTAGTCTTGCATCAGTGGTGGGAAAAGTTTTCAAAAGGCTTATAAAAGATGTTTCTGACAAGGTACCTTACTTCTGCTCACATGCAAAGCTATTCTCATTCAGTGCTACCCTCTATTTGTGAAATTTTTTTCAAATGACACAAGCCTTTCAATCCCACTTACCTCTCAGGTTCACATGGTTTAACTGATTCACACATGCAAATTGTCATACAACAAACTTCCGCCAATAGATGCACCCCCACACACGTGACTACCTCTATGCTAATGTACCTAACTATCACTTCTCGTTTGGCATTGCTTGTGTTCAGATGTTTTATTTAGTGTTTTCTTCGAATTTTCAATTTTTGTATCGTTTATTTTCCAGTTTCCTACTTACTTAAAATCATTTGTACCTCATTTCATCGTGGTATTATTTAATTTTCTACATTACGGAACTTAATCATTTTTCTGTGCTTTTCTTTCTTTACCAACACAGTTGTGCTTGGTTTTCATTTGCATTATGAATTTTGAAGTGCAAGTTACCACACCAGAGGTTATACCTTCTACCAGCACGTTTACTCAGGCTTCAGTAAATCAACTTTGGAATTATCGGCAATTAATCATCAAGAGATTCATCATTATTAAGCCAACCTTCTTCTCCTGATGTTGCCCAACTTCTTTCTGAACAATCTGAACCTATTCGGTACGATGAAGCAGTTGACAGCCTTTTTCCTCCACCTGAACTTGCTGTGTCTTCCCAAGTTCCTACTGTGGGTTCCATTAGGCCTAATACAGCTTTTTTTGGACATGATTTCCCCTGTATGTTCTGTTTTATCCCTTTCCACAATTTCCTATAATCTTCTACCTTCCTTGTTACATGATACTCCTTACTCTTAGTATTTCATGTTTTCACCTTCTCCTGATATTGGGATTCATGCTGAGCATTTTGTCTCCTAGTTACAATCGTTTGCTCTTTCTTTACCTTAGGGACTTACGTCTGGCCCCTTTTCTCCATAAGTTGGCATTAGGAGATCTTCTTGCTACTTTGGAATCCTGAGTGGAATTTGTGAGACAATAATTGACTCATTTCTCATTGGTTAATCATTTGTCTTGCATGGAGCCTCGATCATTCCCTATTTTTGTTCCCCATCCTAATCTTCCCCAACTCTTACCTTCATCCACTAGGGGATTTTCTTGTCATTTTATCTGATAGCAAGTTTGTGCTGCCAACAGTATCGGTGACAACCCTTTGGGCATTGGTCCAATGGGAGCTTCTTTATCCCAGTTTGTACATCTATGGGTAGACTTCACCAGGGATATATGGGTCCTTCAGGTTTTATCCAAGGGACTTGCCATTCATTTCCTCTTCCCTCCTCCATTGTCTTGGATACCCATTTCCTTTCCATTGCCTTGAGATCCTACCACATGTCAGCAATATCTGTCCAAGGCAGTACAGGAACTTTTCTTTCAGAATACCATCAAATCTGTGGCTCACCCTTTTCTGGGGTTTCATTCCAGGCTGTTTATTGTGCCTAAGAAAATCGGAAACTGGTGACCTGTGATCAATCTGTCATGCCTCATTTGTTTTTTGGTACTACCTCATTTTACCATGGAGTTGTTTCTCACTCTCACGTGGGCTTTTTTTCTGGTTTATGGATGACCAAAGTTGATGTCTCGTATGCTTACCACCATATTCCCATATCGAGGCAGCAAGACCCTACCTTTGGTTTATTCATCATAGGGTGGTTTATCAACTTCACGCTCTTCTTTTTGGGCTTGCTACGGCACTGTATGTCTTTTGTCAGTTGGTCAAGGCTTTTACCAGACTTATGCATGGATAACTGGCTTCTGTTGGCTCATTCAAAAGTGGAGTCTGCCCAACAAACTCGTCTGCTTCTTTTGGAGGTGGCTTGGGTCGGTTGGTTGATCAGTTTGGAGAAATTCTTCTTTGTTCGTACCCAATATCTTATCCATTTGGGTGTTTTGTTCAACACTAATCTCATAAGGGCCCAATCTTATCCTTTTTAAC